TAATAGTGTCAATATTTTTCATACATTTGACATCTTTTATTTTTCACACATTTGTCCCGTAACTTTCCTGTCAAGCTGCTCAGGATTAAAAACTTGACTGCCTCAGCTAGTGAGAAAAAACATGACCAGATTTGGTTTAAATCTTTCAGAATTACGACCAGCAGACAAAACACCTGCAATATCAGATGCTTTCTGGGAAGTCTTAAAATGGCATCAAGTTAATACACGATCAGTCACTGGTGAACTCACTCACTAAAAGAATGGCAATGGGATATGGAAACATTCCACCTCCAGGTAACTAGTTCAAGTCTCACCCAGTCAGCTAGCAACAAATATAAAAACTGTCGCCAGGAAATTATTTGGTGGCTCCTCAAAATGGCTTGAAGGTCTCATTTCTGTTCTAAATGCCACAACCAGCACATTACCTGTGTTAAAAGTCACAGCAGAGGCAAGCAGAATTCTGTGGCTGTGGGGACTGAACCATTTCTCACCTCCAGGAATGGTGCACTCAAAGCAAGTTTGAAACACATTGGCAAGGTGGTACAAGGAAGCTCGCATTGCTGCCACCCATGCTTGCATAAAGAGAAACATTCATTTTCTTTTGTTGCCCATTTAGCATCTTCCATTGGCACAGATTCCTCCCCATGTAAAGGAATGTCATGTAGTTAATTCTAAATATCGTAAGACAGTTTGTGTGGTTACCTCAATACATATTTGCTGCAAAAATGAAAACTGCCCTACAGATGACATGGCTCACTATGGTCTTAAATACATCAACTCCCAATGTCAAGATCAAAGCTGTCCGGGTCTTTCATATCTAGAAGTCAATAATTTGTTGACATAATGTAAATTAAATCCATATTGAAATAACAGTCAGTACCCAAAGGGGGAAAATGGAGTGTATTTTATCAGTAATCCATGCAAAGGGTCCGTAGGGCTCCTTAGGGAAGTTGCTATTATATCAATAGGGGGTATTAAAAAACTCTTCTACACTCCATTATATCAATAAATACTTTCTTTCACACTGCCACTGAGGGACTCAACAGAACAATTATACATGGATAAAGTCTTATACTCTGTTTCAGTGACACATTATTTCCTTCTTTTATTTAAAGAAATAAAACAAAAGTGTATCAAACACAGAAAACACTAATGTGATAATGAGTATACTCAAGAAATTCCACAGGAAAAACTATCTAAATATTGCAAGTCCTCTTTCACTGGTCTCAGCAACACCGAGAAACAAGGGGCATCATCCGCCCTGGGTCTGATCCTGCAGCATGCTGAGTGCTACCCTCAACACATCAGCTTCAATAGCACCCAAGGGCACTCAATACCTATCAAGATTGGACTCCATGTTTTAGCTCATTTTCTTGTTTTTAGGGGTTGATGTCAGACTTTTAATGGTTTAAGCTTAACAGAGTTTTTTGCATTAGTGCTCCACTAAGAATCAAAGGTTGTAACTATAGAATACCAGACCCATAGAAATGCTGGGCTGGAAGGGGCCTTGAAAAAGTCATCGAGTCCAGCGTCCGGCACCAATGTAGGACCAAGTAAACCTAGAAAATCCCTGCCAGGTGTTTGTCCAACCTGTTCTTAAAAACCTTCAGTGATGGAGATTCAACAACCTCCCTTGGAAGCCTGTTCCAGAGCTTAAACTACCCTTATTCAGTAGTTAGAAAGGTTTTCAAAATATCTAATCCAGTGGTCCCCAACCTTTCTGTGGGAATAGCACATTCCTATTCCCAACAGACTGCGGCGGGCACCAAACACACCGCCGCCGTTGCTCGGCGGCATTTCGGCGGGCGGTTCTCAGGTGGCCGTGCTCGGTGGCGGCATTTCGGTGGCAGTGTGTCCTGCGGGTGCACACAATTGCCCCGGCGGGCGCCATCTGTTGGGGACCCCTGATCTAACCGAAATCTCCCTTGCTGCAGATTAAGCCCATTACTTCTTGTCCTACAGCCAGTGGACATGGAAAACAAAGTGATCACTGTCCTTTTGTTAACAGCCCTTCACATGCCTGAAAACTTATCAAGTCCCCCCTCAGGCTTATTTTCTCAAGTCTAAAGATGCCCAGTTTGTGTTTTTTATAATCTTTCCCCATAGGTCAGGATTGTTAAATCTTTTATCATTTTTGTTGCTCTCCTCTGGACTCTCTCCAATTTATCCACATCTTTCCTGAAGTCTGACACCCAGAACTGGACACAGTACTCCAGCTATTGCCTTACCAGTGCCAAGTAAAGTGGGACAATTATCTCCCATGTCTTACATACAATACCCCTATCAATAAACTTCAGAACATTTAGCCTTTTTAGCAATGGCATCACATTGCTGACTCATTCAATTTATGATCCACTATAAATCCCAGATCCTCTTTCAGCAGTATTACCTCCTAGCCAGTCATTTCCCATTTTGTAGTTGTTTTTCCTTCTTAAGTGTAGTACTTTCCCCTTGTCTTTATTGAATTTCATCCTGTTCTTTCAGACCAATTCTCCAATTTCTCAAGGTTATTTTGAATTCTAATCCTATCCCCTTCCAACTTGGTGTCACCTGCAATTTTTATAGGCATACTCTCCACTCCATTATCCAAGTACCAGGACTGATCCCTGCAGGCCCCCACTAGATATCCCCCCCAGTTTGACAGCAACCCATTGATAATTACACTGAGCATGGTTTTTTTCAACGAGTTGTGCACCCACCTTATAGTAATTTCATTTAGACCACATTTCCTTATTTGCTTACAAGAACGTCATATGGGACAGTGCAGAAGCCTTACTAAAATCAAGATATACCATGTCTAAGGCTACGTTTTAGTCATGGGTATTTTTAGTAAAAGTCTCACGGGCAATAAACAAAAAGTCACGGCCCCATAACCTGTCCATGACTTTTACTAAAAATACCTGTGACTAAATCTTACCTGCTGGGATTGGGGCGCTCCTGCAGACGACTGCTGCTTGGTGGGAGAGGAAAGGGGACCAGCTGTCTGAGGCTGCAAGAGCAGCAGCCAGTGCGGCTGGCCTCTGGGTTTCCCCAACTGCTGGGGTAGTCCTGGGGTCAGCTGCACCAGCGCTGCAAAATTCACAGAGGTCATGGAAGATTAATGATTCGCAGTCTTAATCACATCTACTGCTGCACCCCCATCCACTAGGTCTGACAGAGAAGGAAATTCTTTATAATGCTATTATCCACTGGGTGCTTACAAACTGATCGCTTAATAAATTTATCCCAGTATCTTTCCAGATATTGAAGTTAGGCTGACTAGTCTATAATTCCCCAGGTCCTCTTTGTTCCCCTTTTTAAAGAGAGTTACTGTGTTTGCCCTTCTCCAGTCTTCTGGGACCTTACCAGTCCTTCATGGGTTCTCAAAGATAATTGCTAACAGTTTTGAGATTGCTTCAACTAGTTCCTTACATACCCTAGGATGGATTTCATCAGGTCCTGCCAACTCAAATACATGCAATTTACCTCAGTGTTCTTTATCCTATTTTCTCCCTATTTTGGTGTATGTTCCTTCCTCCCTTGTTGTTAATATTAATTGTGTTGAGTATCTGGTCACCATTAACCTTTTTTTAGTGAAGACTGAAGCAAATAGGCATTAAATACTTATGCAGGCTCTTACAGTCAGGTAAGATGTGGTAAGACAAGACAAGACACCGTTGGAAGATAAGATACTGGGCTATATAGACCTTTTGTCTCATCCAGTATGGCCGTTCTTATGTTTGCTTAGAGAGCAAACAGTTGCATAGACTCCTGGCTCTCAACAAATGCAATACTCAAAGTTTCTACTGAGTTTGAATATAATAGCCCAAGTGCAGACGTGGAATGGGTGGGTAACATGCCATTTCAGCCAGTGGAGCTGCACAGGCTTGTGGTGGCCTGAATTTGGCTCATGGACTGCGGTCCTGCTTTTGTAGCAGTGATGATAGAGCTGCCTTATAAAGAATACCAGTGGTAAAAACATAATGAACCACAGATATGCACTCTTAGGTCACTGCTGAAGAAGGGCTAGGCAAGACATTCCATCAATGTATGAAAGCACTCGTGTGGATTTTTTAAACTCTACCTGGCATATGAGCTTACAAGTTTCAACATGGATGATTTAAATTGTTTTTGGTCTCAGTCAGATTATTTAACCCAAGAATTCCAGTACAAGACTGATTGCTCCAAGTCATTTACAGCGATTTGTGTGTCCTTGTGGGAACTCACTCCTAGGGTAACCAGGTAGCAAGTGTGAAGTATCAGGTCACTTTTTTTTGAGGTATAGTTGTGTATGTAAGACAAAGCCCCTATTATCGGGATGTCTGGTCACCCTGCTTACATAGGGGCAACGTGACCGGAGATTCTAGGGTCAATCACAGCTGTAAAAAATGTATGGGTTCCCAATGACCTCGTGAACTAGTGGGCTGCCCTACAGTGTCTCATCACTAGCCAATTGTCTACATGGGATGGAGCGGCAGTCTGATGTACAACTCCACTCAGCACATATTGAGGTCATCTACACACTCAGCAAAAAGTTGATTAAAAAGGAATTGTGAAATGCTTGTTTATTGAAGCTGCCACAACCACTAGGGACCAGTGAAAGCTAGTGTACCACAACGTGTACTGGCATCAGGCAGACAACCAGATAGGATGCTGCCACAGGAACCAGGATATTCTGAACTTCAAAAGAGTTGGAATCCTCAGAGATCAAAGGACTGCTGAAAGACTGCTGAGGTGAGTTTGGGAGCAGAAAGTGTGGTACACCCCACTTCGGGGGGGGAGGGAGGGTGGCTGGCATAAGGCTCTCAAAGTAAGTTTTCCTTTTCTATTGGGTTTATGAAGATAAAAGGCCCAGATATTGCGTAGGGTTTTCTTCCTAGCTGAGATGCAAAATTTTGCCTTGTCCTCCATAAATTACACTATTTTCATTGGTATGAATTGGAATTATATAATCTTGACCACCACCAAGGAAGAACAGCCATGGTTCTGAGTGTAAGCCTCTTAACCAACATATCACCCACCTAGCCATTTGCTTGTAGGCTTCTTCTGCCACTGCATAGATGTGAGGATCCATGTCCCCCATGTTTTGGCCACTGTATGCATAGATGACATCTTGTTCATAGATTGGCAGTTGTTCGTATGGGTTAATGGCAACAAGAACAATACCTAAATAAAACAGACAAACATGCAGACATTAGAATTAAAATAAAGTCACAATAGTTTAGAACCTTTTTTCTTTCTTTCTTTTTTTTATTTTTATTAATACAAGGAGATTCAAAAAATGCATAGAACAAAAGGGTCCAGGTTCTTATATCAGCTTTCTTTGAATCATGTAGAAATGGTTAATGCACTGGTGAAAAGAACAGCTCACATTAAGCTATGGAAGAGGAGCATAAAATATATGAGATGAATAGAAGTCCATCATATGAAGTAGGCCCTTTGGGCATTTCCCTGCCCCCAAAAAGGTGAAAGATACTGCCGTGGATAAGCCATATCCACATAATTGAACATCCACTGAACTCAAAATATTTTGGTTTCTGGATTTCAGATGAAAATGCAAAACCATAAGATTAACAGAAATTAAATGCACATATCATGTTAAAGGAACATGAAAGATATGAATTAAAAAAAAAAATCTTTAAAAACTTCCTTTCCCTTCCTGTAGGAAATCCAGACTGCTCAGTTCATCATACAGTCACACCACTGGGCTTAGGAACCACAGTCATCCAAAAACATGGCATCCCACCCCATCCTGTAATCTTATCCAGGCCAGGGGGAAATCAATCAATCCATGGGATCCCCATGGATTCGGGAGGGTTGTCTACATGGATCAGAGAGTAGGTGTGCTACAAAAACTATGGACAACAGCATGAGAGGATGATAGAATCAGAAGCCTTCCTCTAAATATTTTCTGGGTTTGTGGGCTTAAATCCGACACTAATGTTATTTTAACCTGCTATAGGAGGAGTGTGGTCTGGTGGCTACATGTAGAGACAGGAGGACAGCTTAACCTTGAATTTTAAATGTTCCCAATACATGTCAAGTTGTTAAAGTTAAGAATGTAATAAACCAAACTCAGTTTTCAGTTTTATGATGAGATTACTGGTTCTGTGGATGAAGGGAAAGCAGTGGATGTATTGTTTCTTGACTTTAGCAAAGCTTTTGACACGGTCTCCCACAGTATTCTTGTCAGCAAGTTAAGGAAGTATGGGCTGGATGAATGCACTATAAGGTGGGTAGAAAGCTGGCTAGATTGTCGGGCTCAACGGGTAGTGATCAACGGCTCCATGTCTAGTTGGCAGCCGGTATCAAGTGGAGTGCCCCAAGGGTCGGTCCTGGGGCCGGTTTTGTTCAATATCTTCATAAATGATCTGGAGGATGGTGTGGATTGCACTCTCAGCAAATTTGCGGATGATACTAAACTGGGAGGAGTGGTAGATACGCTGGAGGGGAGGGATAGGATACAGAAGGACCTAGACAAATTGGAGGACTGGGCCAAAAGAAATCTGATGAGGTTCAATAAGGATAAGTGCAGGGTCCTGCACTTAGGATGGAAAAATCCAATGCACCGCTACAGACTAGGGACCGAATGGCTAGGCAGCAGTTCTGCGGAAAAGGACCTAGGGGTGACAGTGGACGAGAAGCTGGATATGAGTCAGCAGTGTGCCCTTGTTGCCAAGAAGGCCAATGGCATTTTGGGATGTATAAGTAGGGGCATAGCGAGCAGATCGAGGGATGTGATCGTTCCCCTCTATTCGACATTGGTGAGGCCTCATCTGGAGTACTGTGTCCAGTTTTGGGCCCCACACTACAAGAAGGATGTGGATAAATTGGAGAGAGTCCAGCGAAGGGCAACAAAAATGATTAGGGGTCTAGAACACATGACTTATGAGGAGAGGCTGAGGGAGCTGGGATTGTTTAGCCTGCAGAAGAGAAGAATGAGGGGGGATTTGATAGCTGCTTTCAACTACCTGAAAGGGGGTTCCAAAGAGGATGGCTCTAGACTGTTCTCAATGGTAGCAGATGACAGAACGAGGAGTAATGGTCTCACGTTGCAGTGGGGGAGGTTTAGATTGGATATTAGGAAAAACTTTTTCACTAAGAGGGTGGTGAAACACTGGAATGCGTTACCTAGGGAGGTGGTAGAATCTCCTTCCTTAGAGGTTTTTAAGGTCAGGCTTGACAAAGCCCTGGCTGGGATGATTTAGTTGGGGATTGGTCCTGCTTCGAGCAGGGGGGTTGGACTAGATGACCTTCTGGGGTCCCTTCCAACCCTGATATTCTATGATTCTATGATTCAAATTGAAGCCCCTAGGTCCATTACAGACAATTTAATTAAATAGAAGACCCTGGATGGCATTTTGAATGACAGAACCAAACTTTCAGAGAAAAATTATTAATTCAGCAAACAGGCATACAATTATCATTTACACAGGTACTACAATTATACTCATTTTCAAAGAGGGAAGGGCATATCAATGGGTGATCAGTCCACTGACAACAGAATGAAGTATAGTTTATAATCCTGTAACCTAACAATACCCTTTTGGTGTTAATTGGAGCTCTCTTGCAATTTAGCAAGGCTACTCCTTTTATAACCCATTATAATACTAATTAACATTAAACATAGCCATTACCATTTTCACATTTCCACCATCTCTTTATTGGCTCTTAACACACACATTATTTAAATTAACATCTGAATCAATGTCCTTCTCCTGCTATCAATATAGATAGCGTTTTAATAACATTCCAAATTCTCAAAAACACACTTATAAAAACCCTTGCTAAAACCAGTTATAACCAAAATGTAACCCGGGGTTACATCCTGGCTAACTTCAAATTTCCCATCTTACGGTCTCCGACTTATCTCTCTAACTTGTGTTCACACTAACAAGCTCAATTTCCCACTCCTCTATACTTAGAGTAACTTAGGTTAAGAAATAAACAGAAATTAGACTTGGCCTAACACCTTTTATCGGCTGAAACAGGACACCTGGGTTCTACTCCTACTTCTGCTAGTGACCTCTCTGCACTTCAGTCACTCTAATCCTTAAGACAGGTATTACATCATCACTTCCAAAGAGGCGTTGTGTGGCTTAATTAATGAATACGATAAAAGCTTTGTTATCTGGCATGTTGGTGGAATGGGTGTGTGCGTGTGAGAGAGTCAAAAATTCCAGTTAATTAAGAGGGAGAGAGTTTGGGTGCAGGAGAGGGGTTGGGGCAGGAGGTTGGGGTGTGGGAGGAGTTTTGGGGTGCTGGATCAAGGCGGTGCTCACCTTGGGCGGCTCCGTGGAAGCGGTGACATGTCCCTGCTGCTCCTAGGTGGAGGCATTGCCAGGCGACTCTGAGCACTGCCTCCACCCACAGGCACTTCCCCTGCAGTTCCCATTGGCTGCAGTTCCCGACCAATGGGAGCTGCAGAGCCAGCCCTTGGGGTGGGGGCATCGCACGAAGCCCCTGTAGTCGTTCCTCTGCCTAGGAGCAGTTGGGACATGTTGCCACTTCCGGGGAGACATGCAGAGCCAGGTAGGGAACCTGACGGCCCTGCACCAACTGGACTTTTAATGGATATCAGAAATGCTGGTGACTAGAGCTTTCCAGCTGGTAAAGTGCTGGATAACACAGCTTTTACTGTATATGGTAAAATCCTCAGATAAGAGGAGCTATGTAAATATAAAATTGTTATAAAAAGATCAGTATTAGCATATAAGAAATTATTAAACAGTGCAAAAAAATCCACAAACCCTGATGTAGATATATTGTAATACTCACCACAGTAGGTATAGATGTGATTTGATTCCAAGAATCGAACCTTTAAATTATGTAGGACAGCAGGCTCATGGAGATAACTTAGAGCTGTCAGGTCATTTTCGCCCACCAGAATATCTGGATTACGCAAGAAAGGCAGTTGATTGGTTTTGAGATCAACTGGATATTCGTAGATCTGAAGTAATACAAATTGCACACAAAAAATGGTTAAAAAATAAGAACCGTCTACCTTCTTCATATTAGTTTTTTTTAAAACTCATGTAGGGGTAATTCTGCCCTCAACAGATTATTTGTATAACATCAGCACCTAGAGGCCCCAACCAGAATCCAGGCCCCATTGTGCTAGATGCTGCCCAGATAGATAAAACATGCACATATTGCTTACCGAAGTGAATAGGAGTTCTGTGCACCCACAATGGTCACCCTTTAAAAAATATTTTCAATTATTTTTGGATAACTAAACAATATTGCTTTCTTATTTCCTGTATTCCTTAGGGATTTCCCAGTACTGAATAAGGGCAAATACTCTGGACATTGCACAAAGGACAAAATTCACTGCTGAAGGGTGAATTTCATCCTTACTGAATAAATTTATCTAATCTCATTTTCTAAAACAAACCCAGGAAGTTTTTAGGGGTGGCCAAGGAAGGAGATGGCACAAGCTACCTCAAAGTGTTAGTAACACACAGTACCATATACCAAAAACAGTAAAAGCATAAATGAATCTGACATGTGCATCCTTATTTATCCTCCTCTAAGATCAGCTAGAGTCACAGAATCCAGAGTCCTTCCCTTTGACAAAGTTATTTGTTGACTTTTTTTTTTTTAATTAAAGTCACTTCAAACACATTATGCTCTATACTCCCTTCAGTCTCTTCTGACAATGGGGAGAGGATGCAAAGGAGCCAACACAGGAGCACTGTAGACTTACGTGAGGAACATGGTAATGGCATTAAAATATATGGCTCACCATAGGCTAAAGAGTTTTGGCTCTTCCCCAACTGAACAGCAGAGCCACTGATTAGAATCAGCATGACTTTTCCCCCTTTATCTGTAAATACCTTTGTCAACTTCCCCGTGGGCACTTCCACTCTCAGACACTTAGGAGACAGATGTCGTCTTGGGAAGTTTCCAGTTTAGTATTTACTGAAAACATTTAACGTTTGTTTACGCTTCAGATGAGTTATGTTCCTGCCCCCCTGAAAACTCTGAGTTCCTCCAGCAATGGTGAAACCCTGCTTGTGAAAGCAGGAAGAGGCAGATGAGAATTCCCATGCCATTCATTTTATCCAACAAGCCGTTTGGTTTAGTTATATAGGCACGTACAGGAAAAAGTGAATATATTAGCAATGGCACAACAGATAGTGCTTAGAGCAGAGGGGACGTAGGCAGGTGATCAGTGGGTGACATATGCATGAATACTAGGTAGGGAAAAGCGTACCATGGCCATTCATTGCCGACTGTGTCGAGTACGTTCTGCTCATTTGCCTCTTGGACAATCTAACAAACAGCTCCAATTAATATTTTGGCAGCTAATGGATGCTTATAGAAGAAGAGTTCATCTTTCAATCCTCAGAAGATATGCCGGCTCTGCCACGTTTCAGGCCTTCAGTTCCTCAGCCAATAGCATGGAATATTTAACAGAGATTCTCTTGAAGTGATGTGACAAACTGAGGCCTCCCTGTTGCCACTGCCTTGACTCCTCATCCGCTGAAGTCTTTACCCTCCCTTTCACCCCTCTCTCACCTTGATGGCTGCAGAGCGCCTCCTCTGTGGACTCCCCAATTCCTCCCTGCCCAGATTCCTGCATGTGCAGATACCATCGTCAGATTTAACACATGGCCCTATCTTTCCCACATTCAAAACTACCATCCAAGATCAGGGCCCTCGATGTGCTAAGCACTGTCCAGACATGTAACAAACATGACAGTCCCCGCTGTCAAGGACCACAATCTAAACGGGAGACAGGACTGAAGAGGAGGACAAAACAGATAAGTAGGACAGTAGAATGAAGACACCAAAAAAAAAACCCACCAAAAAACCCACCACCCAACTTCATCACTCATTTTTGGTTCCAATTAAAAATTGTCCTCTCAAAGGAACAGTGCCATCCCGCTTCAGACGTTGCTCCTCTCCCTTTCCCATTGATTAACGCTGCTTCCTCTGTCCCTTCCAACTATCCTGCCATTGCTGGTGCAAAATCCTCCTCCTAAAACGTCTTCCTCCTAGCTCTCCTCTCTTCCCTAACTGACCCTCCACAGCTTCTTCCTCTGGGACAGCTTGCTATTGTTATTTCAGTTCTGCACTGATGTCACTTCAACTTTACACACTAAGACCCTTTTGGTATGAAACATACTGCAGAAATGAAGCCATGTGGCACATTCAGAGTTACTAGTCCAACTGCCAGCAGAAACAAAGCTACAACACAGATCAGATCACACTCAGCTTTTGGCCAGTCTGGTGCCATAAGCAAAGTAATCACCACACAAGAATGTGAAGTCTTGATTCCCCCGACCCCGCAAGAGGTCCCAACCAAGATTGGAACCCCATTATGCTCAATTAAAAGATAAACCCTGCCCTGAAGAGTTTACTAGCTAAATAGACAAGACAGACAAAAGGTGGGAAGAAAAACAGAAGCACAGAGAGATGAAGTAATTTGCCCATCACCACATAGCAGGTCAGTGGTAGAGATGGGAACAGAGCCTGGTCTCCAAAGCCCCAACCCATTATCCTATTCAGTAGGCCATGCTGTCTCTTTCAAGATGCATAGGAGCAGCACCACCCATGCAGCATGCAGACTGAGTTCTTCCACTCCTGAGAGAATCTCAGTGAAGCTTGACCTTTACAAAAATCTTTACTGCTGCAACTGAGTTCCAGGAGATAATCCCCACAGTCCTGCATTAGGATTTTTGAGAGCCTAGGATTCCCATGGACTATGCAACACTGAGTTCATCACTCCAGAAAGAGATTCATGATATACACAAAGCAGCCAGGAACAGGCCTGCTGGAAAATCATAAATCCATGAAAATTCACTCAGATGAAAAGGATAAGAAAAAGGAGCTAGTAACAACAGCGGAGACATTTCAACTTTCAGGAACCAAAGGCTTTCAATTCCCTGAAAGATATCCTGATGTTCATGTAACCTTCATTTGATGCATGCTTCTGTCACTCCATGCTACTCTAAAGTTTGTCAGGCCAACATGCACTCATCACACTCAGCAGGGACTTCATAAGAATGGTCTCAACAATAAAAACCATCTGCACAGGAGAAATATTAAAAGGGAAAGACCCCTGTTATCCAGCCATGTAAATCTGTCTTTTTTAAAAATGAACTGAGCCTTCATTCAATTTACTGTAGGTTTTTCAGTTAGTGACATGTCTGTCATATCCTTCAGAGCAATAGCTATATAGCCAAGTTGGCTTCATAAATTGAATAGTTACAAAATAGCCTGAAAGACAGATTTCCATTAAACAACATAAAATAACGGTGGAATAAAAACCCCAAGCCTTAGTCCAGCTCTAACAAACTACTTCAGTTTGGCACAGGTGGCCCTGTAATGTTATCTATCAGAATGACAGGAGCTGAGCTGAACTTTTATCATGCCATATTTTAGGTATGGACTGTTCATCCTACTCCATTTATAAGACCTGTACCAGCAGGAAACAGCTATCAACATCTTTTAAGAGCAGAAAACAGACCTTTAGAATTTAACCAGTCTTCTCTAAAGGAAGCTGAGTTAACTGCAAAGCAGCATCATAGGGAACACACACTAAATCTGACAGCGTAAATCCAAAGATGAATGTGCCCATCCAACAAACTTAAGGTATCTTAATGGTTTTATATCAAATAAACTCTGCCATAATATTGACGTGACTCATTCCTTTATGTCCTGGCAACAGCAGCTATGCAGTTTCCACAACATAAAACAGCAAGCAGTCTTCTGACCTTCCCTTCTTTACCACCACTACCTCCAGCCAGAGGTAGTGGTGGTAAAGAATTGCCCAGAATTGACAGGACTCACCCTGACCTTTTCTATGAGGTTCACCTGAACGCTGAAGGATTTGAAGTGTTAAGATGCTGGAATCCCCACAAAACCCAAGAGGGGGAAATAACTACATGGAATTTGAAAAAGTGATGAATGTTACCAGACTGGCGGAACTGGAGCCTTCACATACAGCAGAGGCTCTGGCCGTGCAAGCTTCACCCACATAGCCCCCATTCCCTGATTTAGATGGAGAGCTCCAGGAGGTAAAAGGAAAGCCAGCCAAGCACGCACTTTTATCCAATCAAGCCAGTTAGTTCCAGTTGTGAGATGGGCAACACAAACTGAGCCAAGACCACATGCTCATTTCACATCTGTCACCTAATTCCTTGCTAGGATACGAGCACTGTCCTGAATTACTGGGCTCGCTGTTCTTCACAGAATCCTTGTTCGATTGTCTCAGAAGCAGAAGAAAGGTAACTGATTATGGAAATGAAGGAATCCACAGCTGGCAATAAAGCAGAAAGTTTCCTGCTCATTCTCTCTGGTAGTATGATGTAAGGGCAGGCAGCTCTGTGGGATGATCGGGGAGAGGAACGTGTGTGTATTGTTGGAAAGGGCACAGGCACTAGACTACTATTCTAAGGACACCGCATTTGCGGAGAGGAGAAAGAGGAGTTCCTATGGGCAGCTTATTTGAGGTGGGGGCCTCAGATAAAGGAGTAGGCTGCAAAACCTGGAACACATTTATACTAGAGAGACACCACTGTTTTGCACACGAATGTTAATCACATCACTGGATTTCATTACTTGTTAGCCAGTGGGAGTGAAGAGTAGGAGAGTCTAACAGCTGGTCAGGCTGGCAGCTCCAAGGTTGGCTCTAGGTTCTGGAGTCTTGCGGAGAGTCTGACACTGGGGAGTGGGGGCAGGCTCTGGCAGACGTCCATAACTAGGGGTCTACCAAATTCATGGCAGTGAAAAAACACATCATGGACCGTGAAATCAGATTTCCCCCCGTGAAATCTACCTATTGGACAGGAGGGGAAGGGGGACAAAGAATGCGAGGAGGTCCTGTGGAGTGGCACATGTGTTACACATTTATGGATGGCCCTTGGCAGATTAACAACCACAGGAGAAGACTATCTGGCTGCGCAAACGAATGTGTCCCCAATCTCGTCACTCAGTTCCAAGGTGCGTTATGTTGCTTTCCCAGGGACACTGGCACTCTGACATACTGCTACTGGCCTCTCTGCTTATACTGAACCAAAAAGAAGAATTGTTTTCATAACACTCTAATCAAGCATCTCTCATTCCTGCTCCCCAGTTGCCTGTTCAGTAAGAGGGTAACACACTATGTGCCAGTGTGAAACCGGTTCATTGGCAGGAGCTGTGAATTATTCACACAGCCCTTGGAGCATTTTCAGTTTGGGGAAGCAGTGTCTGTTAACTGCTCTAGTAACACAGCAGATCGTCCCCTGGACGATTAAAAAAAAATTGCCTGCTCAATGGAAAAACCAATTTAGATGAAGCTGTTCATGAAAAATATATTTCCTGGCACGATTATACCAGTCACACAGATTGTAGGCTGTGCTAAAGCAGTAAGATCAAGCTGGCTGGTTGGGGAATTTAGTTCCTTTAATGTTCCTCAACAGAACATCAATTTAACTGGAGTGCGCTTAGTAGTTTCAGTGGCACTTGGTCTTTGTAACAAAAGAGTGTCAGTAGAGTTGACCCTTGGCATTTAGAGATGACAAGTGGGTGAAACTTCTCTTTGTGCATAGAGCCAAGTGGAAGCCTGTTGCACTTAAATGCTCAAGTTAGGGCATAAGCAGTGCACAGGCCTATGATGACCCTCTACACCCAATAAGATTAAGTCTCCTCTGTCCTTCTTTAAGAAATTACCCACCTACCAAAGCAATGGACAGTAGCAGTGCTGGGAATTTCCTGAGCAGAGCTGTCCAGTTTTCTCAGACTATAAATCTGTGGGGAGCTGGGAGCTTCATGCACTTCAGGAGCTGAGACAGTCAGAGGTTTGGCTGCCCTCTACCACTGTTTTCCATGATCCTCCAAATTTTGAAGCAGTGAAATCATAAAGGTAGCCCTGAAGTAAATCCCATAGCCAACTCTGCACCACCATGACATGATACAGTTTCATCATGATGTTGGTTTTGCCACATGCTAATGCAATGTGATTGTCTAAGGATGATGCTGTCCTGCAGAACAAGTTCATACTCAGCTGAAAAAGGCAACATCATAACAGACCATCCATTCTCCCCAAGTATGAATCCTCAGCTCAACACTAGGAACACAGTCAAGGTACTCAATCATTGATCAGTCTTACTTTTCAAATAACCTAGCCACAGATCATTGGTCTACAGACCTCATTTATGTAGGCTCTTCTTCCAATCAACATGATATTTATAAGAACTGGATTAAAAAAAGGTTTTTCCTAAATTGGTCCAGCAGGACTCTACTCATTTATTACTCATTTGGGTTTTTTAATGTTCTCTATTATTATCAGCAGCAGCTGCCCACAGCTTAGGATACTGGGTTGATTTCAGCCTGTGTTAGCAAGGGAAGCCTTTTGAAAAGTACTCTGAAAACAGACAGGCTTGAATTCTTTTAAAAAACTCTTTGACCATTCCTACACTTGGACAGCGCTCGTATCCTAGCAAGGAATTGGATGACAGATGTGAAATGAGCATGTGGTCTTGGGCAACACTTGGAGTGCTTTGCTGGTACATTATACTGGCAAGGCATTCCTAGTGGGGATACTGCTTGTACTGGCAAAACTATGCTTTTAACCATATAGCTTATCCCAGCTTTCCCCTCCTTCCCTTGCCCCGCAAAGCTAAATAAGCTATACAGGATCTGTGTTATAACCCCCATCTATGCGAGGGGCTTTTGCTGGCACAGCTACGTCCGTCACAATTCGTCATGCCTTGACATAGCCAACAAAAGTTTGTAGTGTAGATGTGGCCTTAGGCAAGTAATTCCATTAAAGAAGGCCCTCCAGTCAAAATGTTTCATGCTGGGCTCCATCAACTGCATTTTCCCCACTGAGTGCCCTGTCTCAATGGGCTATGGTTGGAAAGCTGATATCCAAGACAACCAGGTCCCGCCCACTAGTGAGTTTAAACATTAGGGCCAGAATCTCTAATGTAATAAGTGTATACATGTTGGAGAGGGAAAGCACCAAACAGTTTATAAGGAATAAACTGGCATTACTTTTTCTGACAAGTGCATTTAAAGATTGTAGAGTAACACCAGAGAGGAATTTCCTGTTTGTCACCCTCCTTTAGCACCCTTTTTTACAAAAAAGACAAGGACTGAAATGAGATCAGGGGTTTACACTGGAGTAAACCTGAAAAGGCTGAGCATACACAGAAAGAAAAAAAAAAAGTGTTACTTGGCCAGTTATTTTTTTTTTCTGTATTCTGTTGGCTTTTACTTCTGATTCATATTGCTTATTCAAACCCATAAGTAATATTTACTCCTTCCATTTCATGTGCCAGCAGAGTCATAATCTGGTGTTTGTGACAGTCTGCTGTTTTGAAAATTACCTGGATGTCACACACACACACACACACACACACACACACAGAGTAACTTCACCGCAGAATCAAGTCAAAGAAGATTGGCTGCAAGGCAGGAAACCTTTGATTTGAATACAAATATCTTTGAAAACCCAAGACTGTTGCAAAGTGATGTATGACGGACTTTTTTTTAAAAATACACCAAGAACTTGTAATGATTCAGGCTCATTCAGAGGATCATTTGAAGTTTAGATCTACCACTGAAAAGGGAAATATATATAATTTTAATTAACTTACAGCGTCATCTTCAAATTTCAGATGTAGCTTTTTATCCCCTTCTTTGTAATCCTTGATAATTTCTGCTGATCTCCACACTTCATCAGGGTCAGGAATCCAAACCTTTGTGTACTGAAAAGAAAAATTCATGAAAACCACTTAGGTCAGAAATATACTTATTCCCTAGGGATACAATCCTACTCTCATTGCAGAGTCAATGGAAGTTTCTGTCATTGGCTTCAGTGGAAGCAAGATCAAGACCTACCTGAACATATAGCACAACATTATGGTCATGAATCAGACTGCTTCTTGACTAGACTGGTTTACTTGCTTGTTACTAACTAACTATAAGATCGAGTACAGTATGATACACAACTATGTTCTAACTTGTGAAGTGATCTCTGAGTTTGATTTCACTGACAATTTACCGGTCATTGTAGGTAGTAAAAATAATAGCATAATTCTCAGACAATTTTAAGAAAGCAAAATGCTTCCTTTTATGGAATGACAGAAAGGTGGCTTTTGAAATACGAAAGATGTACTACAAAAAGCATAAGTAGGCAAAGCACAAACATTTACAATGTTATCACAAAAGAGCAGCTTCGCATTAATTCGTTAATAGCTTCTTTATTAAAGCAGATACAACAGCTGTAAAGAGGTCAGATAAAAAGTGATGCCTAAAAAGGTTTACGAGAATTAAAAATCTAATTCAAAGAGCTGCAATGAATATTCACATGCATGCCCCTCAAAGGTAAGTGGACATTTGATTTCTCCAAATGTCTCAAATATGCAATTACACCTGTAAATCTGCAAAGGTCCCAGTGTGGGGGACGTTGTCAGAGACCAAGCCAAGGCAGAACACCAAAAAATTCATACATGTTTTAATTTTTTTATGAAATACACACACAATATTACGCAACACACACAAAAAATTATGTTTAAAGAACATTCAGGTTGCATAGTTAAGCAATGCCAGAAGGTTATCTGTGCAACCTTAATTTGGTCCCCATGTGTGTATACATTTGATAATTTTACATTAAAATTACATGAAGAAAAGGAGTACTTGTGGCACCTTAGAGACTAACCAATTTATTTGAGCATAAGCTTTCGTGAGCATCCGATGAAGTGAGCTGTAGCTCACGAAAGCTTATGCTCAAATAAATTGGTTAGTCTCTAAGGTGCCACAAGTACTCCTTTTCTTTTTGCGAATACAGACTAACACGGCTGTTACTCTGAAACCTTTAATTACACGACATCCCCACCCATACTATTTTTCCACCACAGGAAACCTGTTTCATCAGTGCAGTTAATTAGCAGCTACTCAATATTGTGTTTTATACTGTTCAGTGCAAGTCCCCAGACATTTTTTTTACACCATTGCATACGATTCAAACCCTGCTCTGAAGACAATTATTAATTTCCTCATGGGTTTGTCTATGTAGCTCATCACTATAGTATAAGAATGCTTCACAAATACTATATTCCCAAAAACCCTGTGAGGCGAGAGAGGCTGGTATTATCCCCATTTAACAGATGGAGAACTGAGGCACAGAGAGATTAAAGTCAAGAAGTATCCACTAATCTTGGATGCGCAATCTGAGGTGTCGAGGACTTGACTTTATGAAGTAAGTAGCGTTATACAGCACTTCATATGTTCACAGAACAGCTTCACCTGACTTCAGCTGCAGCTGAGCGCTCAGCACTTCTGCAAATCAGATCTCAGGGGTTCCAGCTGAGCACCCAGAAAATGAGGAACAGAGGTAATATCCTGTGAAAAGTTGGGTTGAGGTGACTTGTCCAGCATCACACCAGGCGCCCTGCGGTAGACGCAAAGACAGAATCCAGTTCTTCAGGGAAGCATTCAACTGCCTAGACGGAGACCATCCTTTCTCTTCCTGCAGTCCCCTGCCTCATTCCTTACCCGATTTCCAGCTTCTGCAACCAATGAAGAAAAGCCTCCTTTTTCACACAACCCGCATTTATTCCCAGGGCAGGACGTGCACTGCCTGGGGCAAGGGTCCTGCTGTGAGGAAAAAAAGTGTGCGACCCCCCCCATCACTAACGACTGTACATGTGCACAAGCAGGCCCAATTAACATTGCACAGGCAACTCTGTCATTTCCTAATTGTGAGTGCTTGACTTTGTAACCTTAATGGTATTCTTTGAACATAGGGGTTTCCAAGGTGAAAAAAAAAACTGGGGGGGAGGGGGCAACAAATTCCATAATACTGATCCCTAGATGGGTCACCAGTTCCCTCTGACTCCTCATCCAATCTCACCCCACAGCACTATCTCATGGCTTCCGAGGTTCCCACCCCTCTCTGTTGCCCCCAGCTTCCTTGTCCTGCCAGTCCCAGTCTGCCCCCCAACTCACAATCTCATTTCCCTCTCTCCCACTCAGTCTCCCACCCCAGTTCCTCCCCCTATTCCAAATGTCCCAGAGGCTCCTCCTCCCAATCTACTCCCCCATTCAGTTTTGGCTCTTGCCCTCTCCACATCTGAACCAGGCAGCTTCTTTCTCCTCTCTGCCTGGGCCCCACCAGGGTGCGGAGTGCATTGAGACTGCAAGAGAGATTGGCTCCCTGCTCTCAACTCAGGTCATTTATAACGTGGCCAAATTTGGGCAGATTTTCATAGATCTGGCAAAACGCACATCACTGCCACAAAGGTCACGCCTTGGCCAAATTTCAAGTCCCTGCTCCATAGCATTTGAAAAGACCTTGAGATTTAAAAAAAAAATAAAATAAAATAAAAAAAAGATGGGCAAAACATTGCATTTTTCCCCTGGCCTCGTTTTCAGAAGCAGCTAAACCACTGACTGAAATTTAAAAAAAAAAATTTTTACCTGAGGCTGACCTCTGGCATGGAAAGTTTCCTCCCAGAATGTTAAAACTTGGCAAAGTTATAAGCAACTGAAAACAGGGTCTTCTTGGAAGTGTCAGCACCACCTACTACTTTGCCCAGCAGACCCACTCCTCACCCCCACAAAACTTAAAATGCTGTGCGATTTGTTCATGTAGCGTAAATAATTCTATAACCTCACAAAGAACAAGGAGTACTTGTGGCACCTTAGAGACTAAACTTTATTTGGGCATAAGCTTTCGTGGGCCCACAAAAGCTTATGCCCAAAGATGCATCTGATGAAGTGGGTTTAGCCCACAAAAGCTTACGCTCAAATAAATTTGTTAGTCTCTAAGGTGCCAGAAGTACTCCTCGTTCTTTTTGCTGATACCGACTAACACGGCTACCACTCTGAAATCTACAACCTTCATGATTCCCTGTTATTGATTCAAATAGTATTGTTCAAGGAGAGAGGGACACCAAATGTGTGTGGAACGTGGGCAGCTTCAGGAGTAAAGTGAGTGGCCTACCTTGAAACTGGGGCATTGGAGAGGTATGAATACAATATGCATTGTGTTCATATTACTGGACCTATCCCTGTAGCAACGAGGCACTTATTTACAAAACATTTGGTTAAAATAATATTAAACCTACCTGGTAAGGCCAGCTGAACCTAGCTGCCATGAAACTGCAGATAATATATGGCTTTTTCTTAACTAACTGCTTCACAGACCAGTCAGGGCAAAATCTGACTACTTGATTTTAAAATGTTCTTTGATAGTTTGCATAAATGGAGAGCTCTTCCCTATTCCTTCAAACTCACAATTCCCATCCATTTCAATGGGAATTTGGGTGCTGCTGGACTGGGCCCTGGAAGCTCATGACAAAATTACTTTAGTATATATAGCTGGGGGGGAAAAAAACCCACAAGACCTACAAATCTGAGTGTTTTATGCTCCATCAAGGTGAGGACAGTATTAATATGGGCATACCTTCCCATACAGGAACAAGCTATACTTGTGTAATGCAGCTTCATACCAATATAACTGCATCCACAGTTGCAGCAAGTTACAGCACCAACTATACCATTGTAGTAAGTGGTAAAACTTCTGCGTGTAGCCAAGCCCCATGCGAGCCTGCAGAAAGCCCGTAACAACAGCTCTGACATGTGGGAACTGCATCCATTTATCTCAGGGAGGTGTTAACCTCGAGGCCCACTCATTGAGATGTCAACATCATGTATTTCATTCCTCTTGCGAAAAAGGAGGAGAGGGATCACAGATCTGCCCAACTTCCTGAGTGATGTCTCCTTTTAGTACCACAAGTGGGTGGTGTTGGGGACAAGCTACCACTCCTCCCTCCCCCCACAACCAAGAACGAACAAGTCCAAGGAGTCTAAAAGAGCCCATGTGCGCGTTCAAGCCCCAAGGAGGGGGAGCCAACAGGTGTCACTTCAAACCCAGTCACCCAAGGAATGGGAAACACACACTGTGGTGTCACAGAAGGGGACTAGGCTTCACCATGGTTTGCTTTTGAAAAAAAGCTTGGTGCCTACCAAGCATGATCCTAGCAATCCTTTTCCCACAGAGAAAACACAGAATTTGAATTTTTACAGGGAATCTTTCGTTTCCACATTTTGTGAAAAAAAAAATAAAGGCATATTGGCTACATTTTACCAAAAATACCAGTGTCACTTACTCAAGGGGTGCAACCTCCCCCTCTTGCGGTTAATTTTTCAATGTGCTTTAAATTTACAGTGGAACCCCATTTATCTGATGAATTGGGACCAGGGACAGATCAGATCATCAGAAATTGGGCTACTCAGGAAGACTGGCAAAGTGCTTTCTATCCCTTACTTTAAGATGGAGGGTGACACGTGCAGTCAGCCCCACGCAGTGCTTACAGCTGGAGCCACAGCCCCAGTCCCGCCGCTGTCAGCCCCAGGCAGCTGGTGGTTTGGTTAATACAGAGATAATGGAGGGTCAGATACACAATAGAACCTTGTTTATCAGTAAAACATGGTGTTCAACTGATACCTATCTATATTGTGGCTAGGGAAATTAAAATTCAGTGTTTCATTTTAATTGCTGAAAAACGTGGATTTTTATGTTTTTTTTAAATTAGAGAATTTTGTTTTTTCCCCCCCTCACAGAAAACTAGGATCCCTGATGAGGCTTGCTTTACACTAGGAACTTATGTTGTTATAACAACGTTGCTCAAGGGTGTGGAAAATCCACCCCCCCTGAGAGATGTAGTTATACTGACCTAATCCCTGGTGTAGACAGTGCTAT